AGGAATTAACAGAGCAGCCATCAAGTCTTAGAGAGTGTTCTAGGTTATTACATGCAGAGGTTTTAGGTCCTATAATTAACACCTCTGTTTTTTCAGAATTTAACAGTAAGAAATTACTCGTCATCCCATTTTTTATGTCGACTATGCATTCTGTTAGTTTTTCAAATTGGTATGTTCCGCCGGGCCGCGAAGAAATATAGAGCTGAGTATCATCAGCATAACAGTGAAAGCTAACACTGTGTTTGCTGATGATATCTCCCAAGGGTAACATGTAACGCGTGAAGAGTAACGGCCCTAGTACTGAGCCTTGAGGTACTCCATACTGCACTTGTGATCGATATGATACCTCTTCATTCACTGCTACGAATTGATGGCGATCATATAAGTATGATTTGAACCATGCTAATGCACTTCCTCTAATGTCATCATAATTTTCTAGTCTATTCAAAAGAATGTTGTGGTCAATAGTGTCGAACGCAGCACTAAGATCCAGTAGCACTAATAGAGAGATATAACCACGATCAGATGATAAGAGCAGGTCATTTGTAACTCTAATGAGAGTAAACACAGCAAACCGATCACAGAACACCCTGAACTCAATAACAGCAGCTGGTCTCCATGTTACTGAAGCTGGATGTGTTGATGATTCTCACGGATGCATTCATGATGAGCATCTCACCCCAAATACTGCAGAAAATACATGGTTTGGACAGTTTACATTAAAACAACTGTGGAAACAAATCCACTAGAGCAGAATTCACACTCATTAGTTTTTGCAGTAGTTTTATTTTTAATTTAAAAAAAAGACCATCTGCAAAACTCATGCATCATTTACACTGAGGCTCTATTTTAGGGTCTAACATGCAGTTGTTCATTTAAAACAAACATAATCTTGTAACCTTATTCTAAAGACAGTCCTGCCTTTGATGTAAATATGCAAAGAGACACAGATTTCAGCAAACACTCGGAGCTGTTTCCGGAGCATCTGTATGACTCCTCAGCACTGCCTGATCTATAGGATCAATGTAGAAACTCGAGAGCATCGTCCCGTCTGCTGCTTTTGACACGGAAGTCTTTAGACTCAAAGAATCACACAAAAACACCACAAACACTTCTTATACTGTTTTAGATATACTTAATATTTAGTACACTTAAGTTAGTGTTATACTGTTAATTTGTGTTTTACTGATTCTCTCGTTTCATCATGAATTTGCTCTGTATTTATCAGACTGATGAAAGCTGCAGGACTCTTTGTAGGAATAAGAAAAGTACATCTAAAAAAATAGAGAATTAAGCACACTTTTTCTTTTTTATATTTAACAGATGGTACTCTTGTTCAAAGCACAAGTCAGATCATTTCTGCCACAGCACATGAGCAGGTCTGAAGATTACCTTTATTCAAACTTCAAAGCAAGATTATGCCTAAAAAATATATAGAGCAAAAAAACACAATATTGCAGCAAAAGGTTAGTCACCATCCATCAGACGTGCCCTGTATTGTGTGTGGCTTTGTTCTGTTTCCTTTGCTGCTGTGTTTGTTTCCTTGTATTTATTCATTCGTTGGTTGATGTCTTTGCATGTGTCTGTTGTGTGTGAGTGTGAGAGTGTGAGAGTGTGTGAGTGTGTGAGTGTGTGAGTGTGTCTGTGTCTGTGTCTGTGTCTGATTGTGATTAGATCCATTAATCTGTAGAGAGCGGATTCTGTCTGGTGGATCAACAGAGACATCTACTGGTCACGAGCAGAGAAGGCCTACAGATCAATCTCGGCCTCTCACATCCACTGGACATCATTTCAACATCATGTCAGCAGATGCAAATCTTCATTAATTAATGCTGTTTCGTTACAGTTTACTCGTCTTTGCGCGGTGCAATGGGATGTGAAGTCTGTTTTCTTAGACGAATGCTGGTTTACAGGTACAAGGACTGTAGAGTAATAAAGTAGTGAAAATCCCTTAATATATGACCAAATCGGATGTTGTTCTTCAAGTGGCTGCGTTGTTTTGTGGATTTCAGCTCTGAGCAGTGAACAGGAGGGTTTAGACTGGCGTGGATCGCTCATGAATATTCAGCACGTAACGGCACGTTCATCCTGTAGTCCTGACCGATTGACTGACAGGCAAGACGTTTGTTAGCAGCTGACCAATCAGCAGTTTCTCCTGGAGCGAAGGCTTGGCTTATGAATATTATTTAGATGTCGTGACCGAACTCTACAGTAGACCTACCACGCAACTGCAGCCTGACTCATTAATATTCATGAGCGAAGTGTATTCTGCACAGTGCGATTGGTGCAGCGCCTATTGGTGATCGCGTCCTGCGCCAATCGCTCGACAGCGTAGCATCGTAATTAGCGCGTCTGCGATGCAGGCATAGGTTGCAGGGCGATTAATTTGTCATCGCAGAGAAAGACTGTCGGATGAAATAGCGTGACATGCAGATGTGTCCGTTCCGATCCGCCGACAATAACACGACTCTCTCGCCGGGGATTTGCTGATCAGTAACTGGATTAGGTTTCGTGATTTAAGGCGCTCAGGTGCAGCGGGATAACGGTGAGTCTGCATGAATAATGTCAGTTTATATGGAGGCGATGATGGCGTATTACATGATTTACATCGCTCACAAATACATCTGCATGCTTATATCATCCATATGAACACAGCCCTTATTAATGCATCTACAGCCTTTTTATTATCCTCCGCATAAATGCATCCGCATCTCTCTTGTCATCCGTGTAAATACATTAGGCCTACGTCTCTTATGATGCACGTTTAAAAACACACACTCATAGTAGCATAATGACGATGGAATATGTAATACTGAGGAGCTGATGTTGTCAGACAGTGTTTGCGGATATAAAAACAGTTGCGCAATGTTTGTGTGTCTGTAGCTGATGCGCGTCTAGATGCGCCCTCCTCCTCCTCCTCCTCCTCCTCCTCCTCTCTATCTCTAGTCCACGCACTGCCGCATCTCCTCCATCACCTCCATCATGGGGAACCGGGGCATGGAGGATCTCATCCCGCTGGTCAACCGGCTGCAGGACGCCTTCAGCTCCATCGGCCAGAGCTGTAACCTGGACCTGCCGCAGATCGCCGTGGTGGGCGGCCAGAGCGCCGGGAAGAGCTCGGTGCTGGAGAACTTCGTGGGGAGGTGAGTGAAGGACACTGACGCTACATGCAGTGTAACAGTCTGCACACGATACAGTGTAACAGTGTGCAAATTATACAGTGTAACAGTGTGCACATTATACAGTGTAACAGTCTGCACACGATACAGTGTAACAGTGTGCACATTATACAGTGTAACAGTCTGCACACGATACAGTGTAACAATGCACACGATACAGTGTAACAGTGTGCGCACGATACAGTGTAACAGTGTGCCCATTATACAGTGTAACCGTCTGCACACGATACAGTGTAACAGTCTGCACATGATAGTGTAACAGTGTGCCCATTATACAGTGTAACAGTGCACACGATACAGTGTAACAGTGTGCACACGATACAGTGTAACAGTGTGCGCACGATACAGTGTAACAGTCTGCACACGGTAGTGTAACAGTGTGCCCATTATACAGTGTAACAGTGCACACGAAACAGTGTAACAGGGCACACAATACAGTGTAACAGGGTGTGCACGATACAGTGTAACAGTCTGCACACGATACAGTGTAACAGTGTGCACATTATACAGTGTAACAGTGTGCAAATTATACAGTGTAACAGTGTGCCCATTATACAGTGTAACAGTCCGCACACGATACAGTGTAACAGTGTGCACATTATACAGTGTAACAGTCTGCACACGATACAGTGTAACAGTGTGCACATTATACAGTGTAACAGTCTGCACACGATACAGTGTAACAGGGCACACAATACAGTGTAACAGGGTGTGCACGATACAGTGTAACAGTCTGCACACGGTAGTGTAACAGTGTGCCCATTATACAGTGTAACAGTGCACACGATACAGTGTAACAGTACACACGATACAGTGTAACAGTGCACATTATACAGTGTAACAGTTTGCACACGATACAGTGTAACAGTGCACATTATACAGTGTAACAGTACACACGATACAGTGTAACAGTGCACATTATACAGTGTAACAGTTTGCACACGATACAGTGTAACAGTGCACATTATACAGTGTAACAGTACACACGATACAGTGTAACAGTGCACATTATACAGTGTAACAGTGTGCATAACCACAGGCAGCAATGAGTTCTGATTTCTGAACTATTCATCAGAGAAAGAGAGCAGTAAATGATGCAACAAGAAAACAATAGAAACCATATAACTAATAGAATTTGTAATTTTATAATGGTTATAGTGGGAATTGTGTTGGCTTTAATGGAAACTGTTCTGGTTTTAATGGTTGGCAGCTGATGGTTTGTAATGGTATTTGTAGTGGAAACCATTAGAACTTCTGTGATGGCTAAATAATAGAAATTAAATAGTATTAAAAAAATAATATGGCACCCTTAAAGAGCTCAAGGATGTTTCAGAAATGCGAAACAAACAAAGCAGAGATGAGCTGG